CTGAATAATTGGGCGCACAGCAAGAGGAGGGAATTCCAGGCCTGTGGGTCCTGCCTCACTAATTTTGCTATAAAATAGGTGTCTTGGGCAGGAACCTAGTTGAGTGAAATACTGTGATTGTGACTAAGACCTTGAGTAAACCCTGCTGACAGTGGTGCTGGCAGAAATATTTCAGACAAGGAAGACGGTTTCAAACCCAGAGTGGGTTACCGTGTGGATAGGACACGATCCCTCCAATAGGCAGGAAGTCTGTGTCAGTCACCTTGGCCTTCTGAGCCACTGCTGGCCTTTCCCCTACTCTGTTCTTTGTCGTAGACCTGCAGGCAACATTTCCTAGGCTCTTGGGGCAATTATCTCAGAGCTGGGCTCCGCAAAGGTGGAAGATTTGGAGAATGGGACAGGGCCTGAGTATGTATGTTATATGATCATACAGACAGAACACAGATCTGCGAATCCAGCACTTTGAAAGCATTTATGGTGTTTCTTCCATAAGTGCCTTTAGTCTGCTGAAAATGCAGAATTTTTCTGCCTTTATTTTCATGGATAACAGAATTCCTTAAATACTAAATGGAGACACTTTGGGGCATCTTCAGCAAAATTTTGTTAGAAGAGTTCTTGTCGGATAGACCTCTTTAAAGAATATAATTGTGCAGTGAAATTAAGTTAAACTGGTTTAACACCCATGGCAAAATTCTCTTAAATGAATTCTTATCTGATCAACCTCATTAAAGATGACAAATAAGTACATGGCAAAAATTAAGTTTAAGTCTTCAGTTTCATCAGCTTCTGTGTGAGCGTGTCGGCCAACTGTTTAGGTAGGCGGCTCCTCACATGGGGCTCAATACCCAAAACATACACATCCTGGGGTTCCGATTTCTGTTCCTGGCCATGTCAGATAATCTTGGGGCAGTTACTGAGCAGCCGTTACTTTATCTTCTGATGACAGTGATTATTCTGCTGCCCATTCCACTCAGAAATAGGTGATATCTTTTACCTGCTCAGTCCTGTGGTCCCTATTGCCTCTGTAGCCACAATGTGTTTTCATAATAAGCAGAAGATGAAGAGTATGTGACAATTCGGATCTATAAGGAGGAAATAATGCTGGTCCAGATGCCAGTAGGAGGCATTCCTGCAGCGACATACTCTGCAGGGGACAGTGCCTGCTTCCGCAAGCCTGGAGCCACAAGACCACACCAGCCTCAGGCCAGCCTCTCACTGCCTCCCACTTGGGTGCAAGTAACTGCGATACCCACGTCCTCCAGTTTTCTCCTTTGTGTGGGATTCTCAACTCTCCTCCCCTCCACTTTATAATTATCAAATTAAAAAGGAACCATGTTTTTTGGAGAAAATGTGGAAAGTCCAGAAAAGCACAAAGCATGATCCAGTCACAATTCAATTAACATGTCGGTATATAGATATCCAATCTTTGTTCATTTCATCTATTTGATTATTTTTATGAATATCACCTGGTACATATATCCTGGTTTTGTAAGCTAATTTAATCACCCATATATCACGGCTAAAAATAAGCTATAGCAAACATTTTTCTATGCTACATAATTTCTAATAATTTTGTAGTTTTCTATGCTGGATATATTATAATTTAATAAATCAGAAAAAACTTGCAGTCAAGCAGCTCACGGCATCCTTTTAAGGTTATCCTAAGACATAAAACCTTCCACCAAGCTCTTTGACACACGCAAATCCTGGCAGGAATGATTTTTTTTATGGGAAATGCTTATAGCTGTCAGTCTCTTATTCTGCGTGTCGTGGTTTCTGTGCTCTTTTCAGGTTGTGAGGGGGTGATTATGGATTCCTGTCAAAGGAGACGTCTGCTCTGGGTTCAACACAAGGCAGTTTGTATCTCTCAGTCTATCGCTCTTCTGTCTGAGGAGGTTCAGCAAAGGGAACCGGGTAGGCGTCTGGCACTGGAAGTGCGCCGCGGTCCTGCCCAGGGCCCAGCATCCCCACTCAGGCAGATCAGACTTCTACATAAATACATTTGTCTGGATTGTCACATTCCACCCAGGGTTACACCTAGATGCATAAAAATGCCTCCAAGCCTGGTTTTCAAAGCTGTTTGCCTCCCTTGTTGCTTCTTAATGACTTGGCTCAGAGGCATTTTTTGTGTTATATCTATCAAAGATGATTAAGGGGCTGGAAGAGTTGATATATAAGGGCAGATTAAGAGAACTAAATATTTACAACCTACCTGACAGCCAGCCAGGGGGAAATATTATAAAGGTCTTCTGGGCTCAAACGATGGAGGAGACCTTGTTTTGCTCTTCCCAGTAACAGAATTTCAGGGATGTCTAAATTCAGAGAAAGTTTTCTGAGGATGACATCACTTCTGCTAACTAGATAATTGTGTCAGTTAGAAATTGCATTTAGCAGTTAGTAACAGAAACTTGAAATAGCAGTGGCTTATCCAGATAGGGTTTCAGTATCTCTGCTATGACATGAGACCCAGAAGCATATTGTCTGGGACCGCGTCGCAGCTGCATGAAGATGTCAGTGCACCAGAGCCCCCATATCTCCCGGCTCCATTATTCTCAGCTCGGGGTTCCATGCTCAAGGCCACTAGATGTTTGAGAGGCGCTACTACAGCCTCAGTTGCCATGGCTCATTCCAAACAGGAAGGGCAAAAGAGGGCCCTGCCGACTGAGCTTGCTTGAGGGAGGTTTCCTGAAGCCCGTCTACAGATTTCAGTTTACATTTCACTGACCACCAGGAGGTGCAGGAAAATTTAGCGGGGTTTTTCATTTTGTCTCATTTTAAGTTGGGCACATTGCTGACCCCCCAAATATCAGGGTCTTTGTACCAAGAAATCACAGGGTAATGGGTATTAGGTAGGCAACCAGTGATTTGTTATAATCACTTAGCTCTTGAAGATTCTGATAAAAGTCTGGACCGTGTGAGACAGTGGTGTGTGCTTTGGTGTTACCAAGTTCCATTTGTAAAACTAGCCCTTGAGACCTAATTTATTTCCGCCTGCTCATTCTTATGTATTTAAATTTATTCATCATCGCGTGCCTTGTGTTGATACTAAGTAAACGAGTTGCCCCAGAATAATAACAACCCCAGCTTATTAGCTCTTACCAAGTTTCACACACTGTCATGCAATTAAAAGCATCACCTGAATGATGTGCTTTAAATAAGGTAGGAGGGGGTTGATACAGATGGACGAAATAATAAGACTGCCTATGAGTTGCCAGTAGTTGCAGCTGGGAGAGGGATACATGGGTTTGTTAGACTCCTCCCTCTCCTTTTCAATTGTTGAAATCTTCCCACTAAAAGGATTTTTAAATCACCTCCCTAAACCCTCTACACCTTACATTGCTTTATGTAAGGTCTGTACTGTTACCCCAGGTAGGGTATGCAATGCCTGGGGAAGTTAAGCAGCATCACACCACAAGTTAGTTGGCAATTGAGGATTCAAACCCAGGTCTATCGGACTTCGAAGCCTGTGCTTCGAAGCTCTTGCTGCCCAAGGAAAACAGGCCTCTCAGACAAGCAATCCTGGGCACTACCTGGAAACTAGTTACAGATGCAGAATTTTTGGACCCCATCCCTCCTAAGAACTAGGATGGGCACACCCAAGTTCCACATGCTAGTCCAGGGCTCCGTATCACCTCTGTAGCCACAGCCTACCCAAACCAGGCAATCAATTCTGGCTTTTCCTTCAAAAAAGATAACCCTCTGTTGACATAAGAAGGCTAATCATGAGTCATTTCTTAGCAGCATACACATTTTTAATAAGGATTTAATTACCATCATTTCTTTCAACATGGAGCATCTGTTAAGTTGGGCACTAAATGTCTCTGTGTCAACTAAGCATCTTTCTGGTGTGTCAACCCTTATTAATTTCTGCATGCTTGAGACCTCATATGGCTTATTCTACTTCAATAAAGCCCTTGGTGTTTCTCACTTAAGGTGTTTTGAGTTTTAAAAGCCTCAGAGCTTAAAGAAAACTCTCCAAGTGCCTGTTCCAACCTCTTCAGCATCAGCTCTGCTTCCCCACCTATGTGTAACTTTCCTAGAAATACATGGTGTTTTTCCCTAACGTTCTCAGTCATCTTTTCTCATTTTGGCTGTCCTTATTTTCTCATTTTGGCTCTCTTTCTTTTTCTTTTTAAAAGAAAGAGAGCTGTGGAAATAAGGCAGCCTGCTCCCCAGCTTGCCAACCACGCGTCAGATAGGCAGAACAGTTAATGTTCTGCGCCTCCATTTCTCCATCTCTGCAGTGGCTGTGCCCTGTTGTCCCAGGGTCCCGTCCCATCCAGCTCCTTCTTTGGCAACCCCAGGGAATTTGATTTTTCAACCTCAAAAAAAAAAAAAAAATTGAGCTCTGTATGGAACTCACACGATTATATTTTTCCAGTCCATAAAAGGATCCCAGCATTGATCTTTATTGATTTCTGTTTCTGAATGCTGAGTGCCTTAATGATTATAGTTCATTTGCTCTAAACAACAAGTAAATGAATGAATGAATAACCAAGCCTCTGCTGACCACCTCGACCGTAGCCTGTTTTGTTAAAGAGGTTAACTCCTCTTTGCTTTGGAACATTTTAAAATAGCATATTTTCCAGCTGCTAGATTAACATTATTTTATTCTTATTACAATAAACTTCAAAGCATTCACATGTTTAACACACTAAACTGATCATCAACTTCCATAGCATGAGAAAAGGCAGGGGAAGAGAAAAGGCCAACAAGAGGGCAGCATGCAGGCCGTCCCCAGGGACTGTCACTGTTGTTGTCAAGCTCACACTGGTTCTGGTTGAAGGTCCCACTTACCGCTTCTTGTAAGAATTTTTTCTCCTACCAGAATAAGTCACGCAAGCATGTGATAGTTTTCTCACCAAATTAAACATAGGGAAAAGAACCTGCTCTAAAGTAGGGATGAAATCAGTCCTGGTGCTAGGTGTGCCTTAGAAAGCGTTGCCTAGTCCTGCATCTCCCAAGCTGGATGCGAAATGTGTTTCTGATTTGTTTTCCAGGGCAGCCTTTGGCAAGGAGTCTGAAGTTCTTATTGGGAACCTGGGTGATAAGTTAATCCCTTCACAAGACATCCTCTGTGACGTCAGTTACCTCAAAGCTTTGGCCAACATGCATGAAAGCCTGGAATGGTTGGCAGCTCGAACAAAGTCTGCTTTCTCCAATCTTTCCACATCGCAGAGTAAGTAAGGGCAGCCATTGTGGGGACAATTGAGGAACTGAGTGATTTCATCTGAATCGTGAGTGTGTATACCTGTCCCCCCGTGGTGGGGGGCATGTCCAGGACTGTCGGGAGATGCACATTAGAATTCTGCTTGTGTTGTGCTCTCCTACTTTGTAATTCTGGGAAAGGAACTAATCTCAGTTTCCCTGTGTGGGGGGTGGGAAGCCAAGAAAGGCCCATGTTAATACAGCTTGATATTTAACCTTAGAAACATAAAACCATGTCAGATTGAACTTCTGTGTATCCACAACAGAGAGCAATACCTTTTGTTAGGCAGAAACTGTCTCAGAGCTGGGGCTCAGCAGAGCTTATGTTCTCATTGTAACTTGATATAAAGCTAATCTTTGTATTAGAGTCACAGAAGTGATTAAGGTGCTGGAAAATAGAGACAACAGGATGGCAATTATTCTGGAGAAGAGATGGCTGAGAGATAACAATTATAGATTGCAAGGAAATTAAGAAACAGAATATAAAATGAGAAAGGAAAACGTTTCTATCAAGGGCTAACGACTCAGAGAAAAATAGTTTTAAAACTTTGGGCACATAAATTTTAATAACTATAAAATAACTTCCTAAAGCATGACTTTAGGAGTATGTCTAACAATTAAGATAGAGGCAAAGAAGAAAGGGCGTGAAGAAAGAATAAAGGAAAAGAGGGATTTAGATGTATGAATGGAGAGATGGAAACAAGAGAGAAAAAGCAAAAGATGAAGAAGCAGCCATATCAGTTCTGAATTCCGTATTAGGGTTAACTGATAGACAATTACGAGAAAGAAAACACATCATTTGGACTGTGAACTTCAGAGTGCATTACTTATTATCACTGTTACTTGGAAGGGTATGATTACTTGACCAACCATATTTCCAGCCTGGAGAAGGAAAAAGTGTGGATGGATTCACAGGAGTAAGCTATTCCCTGAAAACAGGGCCCCTAGCCTAAGTGTTTCCTTGGATGCTGTCTGTGCTCGGACACATGTGGTCTCATAATGACTGTGTTGCTTTCCCCGGGGGCCAATGGGGAGTAAAAACCAAAGGAGTGGGCTTCAGAGGGAGATCAGATAATCTGCTTTAGGAATTTTCTTAATATGTTACTATTTATTTACACCTTTATTTTTATACCTTTTATTTAAAATATTTTTATCTGATGATAAAATTATACATGTTTATTTTCAGAAATCTATAAGAATAGAAAATGTATCCACCAATTAAGGATAGTTTGGGCACAGTACTGCATTCGAGCAGATTCTGAGTAAGTAGGTATCCTTAAAAGACCCCTTCAAGTTTCTAATCCCATAAAATCCAGGCAATTCTATTACAAGCAGTAGTTTAATTTATCCATTTTATCTCCCAGACCCACTCCGCTGCCTTCTCCACCCCCCCCCAAAGTCAGAAAGAGCTGATTTTCTCTTTGCTAATTGCAAAATGAACAGCTCTGAAAAGGGACCAGATGCCTCTTTTCCTGGTACTCCTCTGACTTTGACAAATGCATTAGTGATGTTTAGAAGGGGCCCTCTTGTTTGGTGCCCCCCCCCAGTGTCCAATATGAAGTGTTTATGATTGCAGTCTTTTATTCATAATGACACAAAATCCAAATTTCTATTCTGTCCCTTCTAAAAGGGCTGCACGATATAGTGCATGACCCTGTAGCAAGCCACTGAACAGGGCACACAGGCTCACCTGGCATCCACTGTTTTCAAAAGGAGAAAGATGCACTCCGTGTTATACTTAACTCCGTAATTGCCCAATTTAGCTGTTGTGTTCATGTCACTACCCAGTACAGTTGATGCCTAATTCATGTCTTTAATCATCTCTATCATTCTGACAAAGATGTCTTCTACCACACCCATTAATACTTTGCCTCGTGTGCTCAGTTCCATTTTATAATATAAGTTGTACCCTCTCAGTTCCTTTCAGGGTGATTATTCCACCCAGTGAGTAATTTAAGTAACTGTCAGCATTTTGACAATCAGTGCAAAACCCAGGTGAAGTGTAATCACTATTTACGGTGTCTTTGCTAAAACAAAGCATCAAGCAAACTGGTTTATCCTGCTAACAACAAGCCCCACTCACCTACTCTTTCTGGCTCTTTGAATTCCCAGGAGAGATGCCCGTGGATGTTTATAATTTGAACAAAGTAGGGGATTCTCTGATCATGGGTTACTTTGATTGCTCCATGTCATTGTGACTCTAGAAGGGGAATAAGGGACAGATCTTTATTATCTTTTGAAAAGTGAACCAAATGATTGCCACAACAAAAGCATTTCCAAGTCTAGAGATTGGACAGCATGAAGAAAATGCTTTGTGGGACGGGAAGAAGTTAAGATAAGAAGATTTTAGGTTTATTTCTTGTTCTATATCCTATTAACTGTATGGTATGGTAAATGTCATGTTGTATTAAACTTAAGAACCTATTAATGTAATGGAGTGGCAGAGGTTTGCAGGAAATTATTTTCATAGTAAAATATCTCTTTAGATAGCAGAGCAGGTTTCTCAACCCCCTGAAACATTTTGTGTTATCCTGAGGAAAGTATTGCATTTTACTGGCAGGCCATAGTTGGCCAGACATTGTCCAGGAGATTAGAATTGATGATTTTTTTTTCAAAGGTAATTTTCTCATCTCTTTTAGTATTTGCCTAATTATTACTTTCTCTCCTTACACATAAAATGGTCTACTCAGCTCTTCTAGCTCCCACTACACCATAGGTACCTCTCTTACTTTCGTCCTACCACGGTCCGTGTTCCTGTTCCATCTCTTCTGATATTCTCTCCCTCAACTTTCCTTATACCTGTTCTACTTAAGATTCTTTCAGTTGAAAGTCACAGACTTTTAAAGGAAAAAGAATACATTGACTCATAAAACTCATAAGCCAAAGGGCTTCAGGAATGGCTAGATCCAGAGGTTCACAAGCTATTCTAGGTCACAGATATGTTTATGCACCTGCTTCCTCTCTCTTTCCCCCCATTCTACCTCAGTCTCATTCTCCCACTCCTACCTCTAGAAGAGGTCAGGACTTAAGGACCTGCTGTAACAGACAGACTCTCAGTGCAAGGAAGTTGAGCAGGTTCATATTTAGCATTGGACATTCAGAATCAATGTTATTCTTCCATTGACCACAATTTCAACCTTGTAGCAAAGGTTCAAAACACCTGCTTTTTGTAATACCTCCTGTTTGTAAGAATCTTTCTTTATAAAGACTCTGAAGTTTTTATGCTTAAGATATTTCTCAGAACAAAATATGACCTACCTAAAAATTGTTAGATTATATTCTACTTTAACATGAATGTCTTTCTTTTTTTATCTCACCCTTTTGTTTTAAGGAAGGATTGTTGTTAAAAATAGACTACATAGAACAGGAAGGAAGTTGAAGGGCTTATTTTGTCTACTTTGCTTCCTTAGAATCTCTCTTTCTTAGATTCTGGAAGAACTGCTAGGATTAGAGATTCTGCAACTCCCTTGATCATATATTCTGCTCCTTACTCCCATCCAGGAAGCCATCTTTTTTTTTTTTTCTATTAACGCCCCCATGCATCAGTCTTAACCTCTTTCTTCTTTTGCGCTCGCCTCAGAAATTAAATGGTTGTTGTTTTCTCCATAAAATACTTTAATGTGTCTGAAAACATTTTCCTGGGCCTATACCTTTCCATCTCCGGATTTTAAAGATTTTTGTCCCCAAAATCCCAGTCTCTGAGTCAAGGGCACCTAAATCTACTAGCATTAGGAGCCCAGATCAGGCCCGAGTTTACTGTCTTACATAGGATTTGGCCCTTGGCTTTTGTGAATGTGGGCCTTAGAGGAGGTTTTTTGGACACTGGGCTTATCCAGCCTCAGGTCACGTAGTTTCCATTCTGACATGGAGTGAATCAACCCTCAGCTCACTCAGTTCCCATTGCTGAAGTTCTTGCTTAGCCCATGTAAGTGAATAATGAAAAGTAGGAGTCATACCCTAGTCTTTTACAGTCTGAGCAACCACAAAATTACACATTCCTCTAATCTCTTAGGCAGCTAAATATCATAATTTTGCTTCCTGGAATTGATTTTGGACTTGTGGTATTAGGTATACAACTATTTATATACTTTTTTCCTATTATTGCTAGAGTTCTTGGAAATCATCTGATCTAACTCGAGTTATTTTACACATGAGGAAATTAAGGCCTTGAAGTGATTATATTTCATGTCTGTGCCAAACTGGGATAGAGCAAATCTTCAAATTCCCAGCTTAATTTTTTTTCTACTACATCGGTTAGAGCCACTAGCTAGACCTTACATGCCATATTTACATAAAACCATTCTAGTAGGGTGGTCATATTTTATTTTGATAGAGGCACATTAATGCTAATGTTGACCCTTGTTCATTTCTGATCATTTTCTTGTGCATAAACAGAAGTTCTGTGCCTTAAATATATAGGATTATGGCACGGTGAATTTCATCTTAGTTGCAGTAAAACATTTCTCTAATTTGTCACTCTCTGTTTTAGTTCTATAAGTATTTTTTAAGTTAAAAACGCCATCTGTCTAGTTATCATGGTATGTATTATGTTCTAGATATTGGAATGTCATTTACAATAGTCATTAGCCTGGTGTGGCTATTTAAATTTCAATTAATTAAAATTAAAAATTTCCTTCCTCTGTCATACTCCCCACATCAAATGCTCGGTGGCTGCTGTATTGGGCATTGCAGGTACTGAATGTGCCTATCATCACAGAAAGTTCTGCTGGGCAATCATGTAGGTCATTGATAAAGGTTTAAAATAATGCCAGCCCCCAAGAATGGAGACCAGATCTATGGAACAGAATAGAAAACTCAGAGATGAACCCAGCCACATATCACCATCTGATCTTTGAGAAACAAAACTAAAGCATACACTGGGGAAAAGAATCCCTGTTTAATGATGGTGCTGGGAGAACTGGTTAGCCACATGTAGAAGACTGAAATTGGATCTGTACCTCTCACCATTGA